TGGAAGATGTCATTGAATTTGTCTTGACAGTTGACTCTGCCAGAAAGTCTCAACAGAAACATGCTTGGAAGAACGTAAGCAGAGCTTTGCTGGATGATTTGAGATCAACGTTTATCAAGACATTGGCCCAAATGCTGGATTCTGTGATCTTGGGTAATGTCTCCGTGTTTTGTGGCCAGCAAATCCCTGATCGTGTCTTTCGCAGCCGCAGGCCAGGTAGGGCCAAGTGTTGATTAATATTATATTTACTGATTGACTTGACTTAGTCTGACTGAATGTATGTTATAGGAATTGGAGGAGTGATGGCCTGACATGACTGACCTTGTAAAATCGTTTGCAGGTCAGAACAAGGTGCTCAACGTGTGACAAAGCGGATTCATATTGACCAGATCTGGGAATATGTTGAGCAGGGCAAGACAAACAATGTGTGTTTGAGAACAGCTGTGAAGGATGCAAAAGCTGGATCCGGAACATATTGGCAGAACAAACTGCTGTCTATGTACCTGAACAGGAGTCAAGTGGCCATGTGCAACTGTTGTGATTTTCAGATAGTGACTGATGGCAGTGTCCATTCAACACAGGATCTACTTATCAGTGTGGCCTATGTACATGAGTCAAATGTTGCGGTAAACTTACCTGGACAATGCCTCTGGCCAGCCAAGATTTGTACACCGGGCGACTTTCAAGATGCAGATGAAGAACTGCAGCGCACTCTTGCGAGGAGAGAGCAGCAGCGGTTGAGCTCTTTCAAGTTTTTGCAGGCAATCTCACACCAGTTGGAGGTGGTCACTTCAAAGCGTGTGAATCTGGAAACGTTCAAGTGTCATAGTGACCTGGCTCCAATCATGCAGCCTTTGACACCTTCTCATGGCCGTCCTGAGGTCTTGAATGATCAGATATATCTAGATGGGCTCTACTATAATGTCATTGAGTGGAGCAATTGTCAGGGTTGCCTTATTTTGACGATGGATCAATCACCATCTGATATGGCTGCAGCGGCATTTTTGCTTGAAGGTGTGCCAGGTGGATTCTTTGTCCATTGCGATTGGGATTGGTACCACCGGCTTTCAAATGATTGTAAGCATGCTGAAGGTCAGCTTCAGTTTTCAAAGATAAAGCTTGCAACCCAGTATCTCAGTTGCCACATTATATATTATCTTCTCTTATTTAATCATAAGTAATGTTAACTTCACTGGGGTCATTTGATGTAGTCAACTGACTGACTGATGACTAACCGAGGTATGTCTGGGGGATAAACTACCGGCCATTTGGGTCAGGAGCATGGTTTGCTGAAAAGAAGGCAGCGCTTGAAAGCTTCTTCGCATCAATCACATTGGTGTCTTGGAGAGCTGAGAACCAGAAGTGTTGGGTTTATTTTGTCTCTGTCTGATAATATTATGTATTAGTATTCATTGATGACCAGTTTAAGAAGTTTAGGACGATCCACTGGTGCAAAAATACATTGACAGAATCGCCCTAGACTTTGACATGCCATGCAGTACTGCTGATGAGCAACGAGCAGTCTGGGAAGCTTTGGGTCGAATGCACTCCTGGAACTTCAAAGGAGCCAAACCAAAAGATTCGAGGTGGTTTTCATGGCAGAATGCATGTCATCAGCAACTGCGAGAGTGGCATGGCACCAAGCTTATCCTTTCCTGGTACTTAGACAATGATGAACCAGACTCAGATTTGATTCAGGCTGCTGCAACGTTTGATGCTCTTCGAAAACAAGCCGGTGGAGGTGGTCTCACGCTTGCTCTCTACAGCTTGAACCAGAAGATTTGGGAAAGAACTAAGGTTCTGTACTTGTGTACAATTCCATGTTGGTCAGAATATACAAGATTCAACACAAGTGTCAAAAGTGCATCTGACTGCTTGGCGTACTTTATGTGCATGTCCAACGATGGCTGGTCTTCTTGTCAAGAGCTACAGGAGTTATCCCAAATTGTGAGTCCTGAAGCCAAGTCTCAGTTTGACTCATGGGTTCAATGGTGCCCTGATCCATGTGATATTGCCCGAACAAGCTTTGAATTTGTGACCTCTTTGCTTGGACAAAGAGCTAGCAGCTATGCCAAACACTTGACGCCTCCCTACTGCTATGCCGGCATGCTCTCAGATGACCCTCACATGGAAGTGAGGAGAATGAAACGTGATTGGCAAGCACTTGTGCAGCTGGAAACCAGCACTGCAGAGCAGGCTTCTCAATTGGCTAAAGATCTCAGGATCACTTTGCCCAGTCCAATGCGTTTGGTCATGTTGACATTTGAATCTGTGGGATGGCAAGTTGATGACCCACGTGCTTCAGGAGCCATTCGAATGTTGGGGTGCATGTTGAAGTGCCTTCCTGATTCTAAGCTGATTGAAGACTACCATCAGAGGCTGAAAGCCAAACAGCGTTATGGTGCTCATCATCAAAAGAGGCGCTTGTCATCATTCCAACACATTCAGAATTTCTCAGATGAATTGCTTGCTGCCCGTGATGTTGTTCACCCAACAATTACTGAAGGGATCTTCAGAACCAAATACCGCCAGACCAACAGCAAGAGCTTTAGTGAGGCCAAGCACATGAACTCAAGGAGGCACAAGCTTGCCAAAGACTTCCAGGCCATCATGAGTCCCAATCGTGATTGGTCTACATTGACGGTGGCTTCTCTTCGGAAATCAGCAGCAGGTTGGCAGTGGATAAGGCATTATCTCGGTCAAAAGCTTTGGCAGCAAAAGGTTCCAATCAAGGCTTGGTCGCTCTCCTTTTGACAAGCTGTCCCAAGAAAGGATCGTAACTATTTATCTGCAGAAGTAATTGTTGAATTCTCAAGTATGATTTGCCCTTTGACATTTTGTTTTCAGTAGTCATGTTTTGTCCCCCTGTCCCTTGCATGCGCAGGCTGCTTTGCTGAATGTTCTATGCCAGGAAGGCTTGGTCATCAAGAAGATTGGAACTGAAGTCCCGGTTTTGGTGCTGGCCCAACACTGCTGGGCCACCTTGACATGGCCATTGGCGATGGGGCATCAGACTGGTTGTGGGGAGCAGCACTTCTCTTTGGTACCAGATGGAGCAGTCCAGTGGCTTTATTGTTACAACCCAGAGGACTACCTTGCGTTGCCTGTCCAGGCTCGTTGGGGAGACCAAGGTATCTTCATTGCTACAGCTGGAACGGAACAGCCCTTGCTGACTTATGCCCTCCTTTACTTGCAAGACCGCTTCACACTCAGCAATCTTCACTCAGTTGGCCAGATTCTTGGAGTTATCGAACCTGGGAAGAAGCCAACAAAAAAGAAGACACTGGAAGCATTGGCTACACATGTGGGAGATTGCAACTTCATCGAACAAGTTCTTCATCGGGCTGAGTGTGGCAAGCAGAAGGAGGACCATATCGCGTTTGAAGGTGAAGCAGACATGCTGAGCTGTTTGTTAGAGCAGTTGGATAAGGACGAGCAGGAAGAGTACAAGAGTCTGAAAAAGAAGTCAACTGAAGAGATCAATTACCGTCAGCAAGAGAAGTGGAGGCAGTGGCACAAGGAGAAGATTCGTGAGAAGAAGGACAGAAGCTTCAAGTTGTCTTTGAACTGTGGTTTCAAAATCTGTTAGATGTAAAAACTAAGTAGGCGGGGGAATAGCTACAATAATATGAACAAAGATGTTGTCACAGAAACACACCTGTAGGAAAAAAAGGAATTGGCCGCAGAGAAGAAGAGGTTGAAAGCAGAGGCCAAAGAGAAACCGAAAGGGAAAAGGAAGGCAGTGAAGCCACAGGCAAAAGCGAAGAAGAGATTGAAGTCAAATGATGGCAGTGCTCTGCCAACACATGCTGAGGAGGACGCACCTGAGAATGGTGCCAAAGAAGAATCAATTGTCATCGAGGTTGCGGAGGAGCTTGAGTCAATTGGTGTCAGAGAAGTTGTCATTGACGAGGAGCAGCCACAGCTTATGTCAAATGACATTGGTCAGATGGCGGATTCAAATGCTTCTGCTGAACAAGCAGGTGTTCCTCCTTTGGCTGTGTCAATTGACAATTCTGAAGTACCTCAACCGCCCTTGGATTCAGGTGCATGTGCTGAACAAGCTAGTGTTCCAACTTTGGCTGAGCCCCCTGTGTCAATTGACAATTCTGAAGTGCCTCAACCGCCCTTGGATTCAGGCGCATGTGCTGAACAAGCTGGTGTTCCTCCTTTGGCTGAGCCTGCTGTGTCACTTGACAATTCTGAAGTGCCTCAACCGCCCTTGGATTCAGGTGCATGTGCTGAACCAGCTGGTGCTCCTCCTGCAAGTTCAAGTGCAGCAAGTTCAAGTGCTCCTGCTGCCCCTCCAGCACCTGAGGAGCCTGCACGACCTAGGGGCTCCAAAGCTGCATCACTCAGACTGCTTGTGTGGACTGACATTGACTGCCCATCGTGCCACTCGACTGCAGGCCAAATCAAATACTCACCTGGCCCAGGACGGCTTGGCACATCTGATCCACCTTGCTGGTTCATGCGGGTCAATCAGAGACCTGATGGAGGTTGGCCCAACCAAGGAGCCCATTTTAGACGTCGCAGTGTGTCAGTGGTTGGAGGCGAAGACAAATTTGCCATCAGCTGGGTCTTGAAGAACAAGACCTGCTGCAAAGGGTCAGTGTGACATCCGTCATATGATAAAAATGGATTTGGGAGTCTGGGAGTGCTTATTACTGAGTTTGGATTGATTCAAGTCTATTAGCTTAGCAGGTTTGAGATGTCCAGTTCATTGATCATGTCATTCATTTGGTAGGCTGTTTGTTGTTCATTGTTGGTGTCTAGTCTGCAAGCATCATTGGCAAACCTGCATTCTGTCATTGGTCCAAGAAGCAGCAACGGACCTAGCTACCTTTTAAAGGGCATGCTGAGCGACTCTATTTAGAAACAGGGTTCAATCAAGGATTCAGGATGAGAGAGTCTCATTTGTACCAATCTTCAACATATTAAATTACATCTAAAGTCATTTGGGTTCATTACACTGAAAGTGACTGTCTGTTATTGCTGCAATGGTGAAGCATTCAAGTCGGGTGGCTTCTTCAGTGGCTATGCTGCCATACTACTATGGATTGATGTCCATGTTGTCTTCTAATGCCATGACTCATGGTGCCAATGCCAACGGAGTCAAGGTGAAAGGCAAAAAGAAATCTAGGGACCAAGAGAAGAAGACAGTTGAGTCACTTGACAATTTGACTGCCGTAACTACTGCTACTTCAATGACGTCAATGCCTTATGATTCAACTGGCAAGTTGGAGATGGAGCAAAAGGAAGTGAAACTTCTGCAGCTCTTCCGCAAGGTTTCAATGTATGGCCTCGATGACTTGGGTCACATCTTTGACTTTCAGAGGTGGGAAACTAAACATGCTTATATCATGTTCAAATATGTTCAAATGTTTCAAGTTGGGTCAGGCTCAATTCAAGGACAGCAACTTTCACTGTTATAGCCCAGTTCAGTTCACTGTTTTTTTGGTGTTACTGTTCATGACTGTGCTGTGTGCAGGGTGGGTCAATTGGTGGATTCATCAACAAGTGAACTTTTGGAGCGAATTGAGAGTTTCCTGGACTTTGATTCACTTCGTGGAAGTCAAGCAGAGCAGTACTGGCACTCGATCCTCGGGGCAGTCTTTCCAGAGCTTCAAGAGTTGAGTTTGAAGAATAGGCTGGCAGCATTGATTCAGTGTGGCAAGAGGAACATGGCCGCTTCCAAGTTCACTTTTGTGGAATACTTCAGTGGCTGTGGCAACTTGACCAAATCGTTTCTGGCACAAGAACATTTGGGAGCAGCTTTCGATTTCAAGTACACTTCGAACCATGACTGTTTGACAGTTGAAGGATTGCGACTCTGGTTTGCAGCTCTGCTGAGCTGTGGTCCAAAGAGCTTCATTTGGTTTGCAATTGAATGCAGTTCGTGGGTACCACTATGTTTGAGCCAGAGCTTGCGACACGAGTCCAATGGGTACCTTGGCGACACTTCCAAAGTGTTCGTTCAAAATGGAAATGCACAAATGGTGGTCAGCTCACTGTTGATGTTTGTGGCATGTCTTTTGGGGCACATTGTGAGTCTCGAGCAACCGCTCGGTAGCATGTTACCACTTTGTGATCTTATGGACACAGTCTTGAAATTCATTGGCATGTCCAAGACGGTTTGCTACTTGGGCGCCTATGGTGCAAAATCCGTCAAGCCTGCGCAGCTTTGGTCAACGTCGTCTGGATTGGTGGCCTTGGAAACGGGGAGACCTTCATGTCCAGAAGAGCTTGCTCAGAGAGGCAATGATGGTCAATACACAGGCAAGAAAGATTTGCTGGCAGAAAGTGAGCAATATCCTATTTTGTTTTGCTCACTCCTGGCAGATTTGTTTGTCTGTGGACGCTTGTGAGCACACGTGGCAGTTTAATTCAAATGTTTAGTTGCTGGTTGATAGAACCAGTATTTGCATCACTGGGGTGGAGTGTGAGTGAAAAACTGATGTCAACCCACTTCTTTGGAGTTCATTCTTCATTTATCATGTCAATGTCTTGATCCACTTCTGGGAGCCCACTTTGATTTGCACTTGTTCGGAAGTCTGCTGGAAACTTAGGCTTGCAGACTTTGCGCAGTCATCTCAGTAACAGAGCTTTGAAATGAAACACCACTCTTTAGTTTGCGTGCATTTTGACCAACTGAGGCAGGAGTCATTTGACAAGTGACTTTTGACAGGTGATGTGGACTCTTAAAAACAAACGATGTTTTTGTTTCTTGACTCGCAAACATTTGCCTTACCAAAGTTTATAGGGTTACAAGAAACAAAACCATGCATAGTAGTACTAAAAAGTTTTATGAGCTGGAACGTGTTGGAACGTGTTGCTAACAAATTAAAAATCATTGAAAAATCTCAACCAATTCAACTTTAATCTCGAACAAACATACTTTAATCTCAAACACCCTTGTCTACTTGACAATGAATCAAAACTGTATACCTCAGTAATACAACCTAAATTAGGGAAAGGTGACTGATCTGGCCCCTGCTGATCTAAGTGCTAGATTGGTTCAAGTGAGTGTTTGCGTGGCCTGCGTCGCGTCGTCGTCTGTCGTCGTCTGTCGTCGTCTCTCGTCGTTTGTCGTCGTCGTCGCGTCTCAAATTTGCTGCCATTGGGGGAAGTTTTTGCAAGTGACTTTTCATAGAGGTGTCACGTGTCAGTTTCCACCGCTATTCCATTGTGATTTACATGACAATGACACGTCGCGCGAGAAACGTGATGCATTTCGCTGCACAGGCGCAGCGTTTTGCGAGGTCCGCAGGTTTCTGCGCAGTTCCATTGGGATTAGCGTTTGGAGAGTCGTGTTTTTGGGGTGTTGGATGTGGCCGTGCCATTGGGATTTGCGTTTCAGGGTGTGGCATCGAAGCTCTGTTTTCGTGACAAGTCTCAGCTGAAATGGCGATTTTGGTGGATGGGAGTGTGCTCAGAACGGGTCGAAATCATTCCAAACGTGTGGTGTGGTGCAAATTTTGTTGAAGCTCACATGAGATGATATTGTTACTTTTCGTGGCAGGCGCAGGACTTCGTGCGGGTTTTGAGGCGTGGAAGTGCGATTCTCGTGGCAGGCGCAGGGAATCGTGAGGTTGCGAGGTGTGAGGGAGGTGACATTTCGTGGCAGGTGCAGTACTTTGTGTGCGTTAGACGTGTGGATGGGGAAAGATTCGTGGCAGGCGCAGGGAATCGTGAGGTTGTGAGTTGTGGTAGAGGTGAATGTCGCTGTCCCATTGGGATTGGCGTGTGAGCGGATGTTATTTGGAGGGGCTGGACTCGCGAAACTGCTTGGCAGGGCTGCGTGATGTGTGTGCTCCGATGGGTGTTCCCGCTTTTGGAGGAAGTCTCGTACGAAACGCTCGTTTTGCAGACTTTGACGTGTGAGTTTTTGAGGAAGTCTCGTACAAAACGCTCGTTTTGGAGACTTGACGCGCAACCCTCTGCGGAGATCGTGCGTGTCGAGTGCGCGAAATGCAGGCGAGAGCGCGATTTGTCCCAAGCGCGCGCAACCCTCTGCGGAGATCGCGCGTGTCGAGTGCGCGAAATGCAGGCGAGAGTGCGATTTGTCCCATGCGCGCGCAACCCTCTGCGGAGATCGTGCGTGTCGAGTGCGCGAAATGCAGGCTAGAGTGCGATTTGTCCGGTGCCCGCGCAACCCTCTGCGGAGAGCGTGCGTGTCGAGCGCGAAATGCAGGCGAGCACTGGCGACTTTGTAGTACAACTTTAGTACGCGAAGTATCTGGGGAGCTGGAAGATGAGAACTGGTGACTTGGTAGTACAACTTTAGTACGCGGAGCAATCTGTGGAGCTGGAAGCTGAGAACTGGCGACTTTGTAGTACAACTTTAGTACGCGGAGCAATCTGTGGAGCTGGAAGCTGAGAACTGGCGACTTTGTAGTACAACTTTAGTATGCGGAGCAATCTGTGGAGCTGGAAGCCGAGAACTGGCGACCTTGTAGTACAACTTTAGTACGCGGAGTATCTGGGGAGCTGGAAGCTGAGAACTGGCGACCTTGTAGTACAACTTTAGTACGCGGAGCCTCTGGGGAGCTGGAAGAGTGTCCCACAAGAGTGTCCCGCAACAGTGTCCCACTAGAGTGTCTCACAAGAGTGTCCCTTAAGAGTGTCCTCCACGAGTATCCCGCAAGAGTGTCCTACAAGAGTGTCCCACAAGAGTGGCCCACAAGAGTGTCCCACAAGAGTGTCCTACAAGACTGTCCACAAGAGTGTCCCACAAGAGTGTCCCACAAGAGTGTCCCACAAGAGTGTCCCACAAGAGTTTCCTACAAGAGTGACCCACAAGAGTGTCCTACAAGAGTGTCCTACAAGAGTGTCCCACAAGAGTGTCCCGCAAGAGTGTCCTATAAGAGTGTCCCACAAGAGTGTCCCACAAGAGTTTCCTACAAGAGTGTCACACAAGAGTGTCCCACAAGAGTGTCCCGCAAGAGTGTCCTACAAGAGTGTCCGACTAGAGTGTCCCACAAGAGTGTCCCACAAGAGTGTCCCACAAGAGTGTCCCACAAGAGTGTCCTACAAGACTGTCCCACAAGAGTGTCCTACAAGAGTGTCCCACAAGAGTGTCCCACAAGAGTGTCCTGCAAGTGAGCCACAAGAGTCCCACAAGAGTGTCTCACAAGAGTGTCCCACAAGAGTGTCCCACAAGAGTGTCCTACAAGAGTGTCCCACAAGAGTGTCCTACAAGTGTGTCCCACAAGAGTGTTCCACCAGAGTGTCCTATAAGAGTGTCCCACAAGAGTGTCCTACAAGAGTGACCCACAAGAGTTTCCTACAAGAGTGACCCACAAGAGTGTCTTACAAGAGTGTTCTACAAGAGTGTCCTACAAGAGTGTCCCACAAGAGTGTCCTACAAGACTGTCCCACAACAGTGTCCCACTAGAGTGTCTCACAAGAGTGTCCCTTAAGAGTGTCCTACAGGAGTATCCCACAAGTGTCCTACAAGAGTGTCCCACAAGAGTGTCCCACAAGAGTGTCCCGCAAGAGTGTCCCGCAAGAGTGTCCTACAAGAGTGTTCCATAAGAGTGTCCCACAAGAGTGTCCCACAAGAGTGTCCTACAAGAGTGTCCCACAAGAGTGTCCCACAAGAGTGTCCCACAAGAGTTTCCGACAAGAGTGTCCTACAAGAGTGTCCTACAAGAGTGCCCCACAAGAGTGACCCACAAGAGTGTCGTACAAGAGTGTCCTACAAGAGTGTCCCAGAAGAGTGTCCCACAAGAGTGTCCTACAAGAGTGTCATTTGGACATATTAGTTTTTCGAACGTGTTTGCATTCGGGTTCGTGGGTTCCATCTTGTTTTTTTCATATGCATGGGGCTGTTGGAGGGATGGTTCACACGGTCTCGCTCATGAGGTAAAACATTGTGAACATGTAAGACACACGAACAGCAATGACACAGCCAACCTTAGCTTGTGAATCTGTTGAATCTGTTGCATCGTATCCCAAAACCTCCACGGAGGAGTTGAACCAAAGTGGATGCCATAAGAAGTGTCCAAGAGGTGTCCCAGAGGCGTCCCAGGGGGGAGTTGAACCCGCGGGGGGGGGGCGG